ATGCTAACACAATTAGACAACTTTGCTAAGAGTTTTTACGCGTTCCAATTGGTTTAGATTTTAAAGCACTGAAAAAAGGCAATTGCAGTTTACTTGACATAAGTTATGAAAAAAAAACCTTCTGGTAAATTTGAAACTTCACATTCATGATCAGCGACTCTGCTTAGTCTTGTGATAAGGTTTTCAGCTTGCTGAGTATCCATTTTGGGCCAAAATTCATACATTGATTTCAACCATCAATGTATAAGTTTATATAAATTTGATAGGAAGTTAAGGAGGGTTTGACTTTGTTTGAAACCCTCTTCAACTTTCTATTGTAATACTACAGTAATAAAGAGTATAGGTGCTTCGCTCCATACTAGCAATCTAAGTTCAGGCCTGCTCTACTGGATGGCTGTTGAATCTAAATGAAAGACTTTGTGTGAGAAGAGATATTAACGATTAAATAGTGTGTACTAACATTTGAGACAACCCTATATCAATTGCCACGTCTATTCATGTTGAAACATCATTGCTTAGTTCCTCAGAAGACTTTCCTGCGAAAACATTCTAAGTGCACCTACAAGATATACGGCATTATCAACATGGCAGTCGGAAAATCGCTAGCAGTAGAAAATTTCATGCACAGCTAATACGTCATGGCATGCTTTGTATAAGCGTCAGTGAGCATTCAGCTGACTACCAGGTAGATTTTAACTTTAAGGTAGATTTGTGAATAGCAAAGTTACCTTGAGGTTAAATTCTACCTTTAGGCATGCTCTCAAGGTAAATTTTAACCTCAAGGTTCGTTGATGAATATGGCCACTGGAGAAGTAGAGCCCCCTTTTGAGCTGCCGGTTTCTTTTGAGAGTAACGTAAAGATCGTCCCGATGGCAGCGAGGGGGCATGGGTCCCATCTCCATGGAGTTATAAGTATCAATGTGTACATTTTTATGCATGTCTATTAGAATATTAATGTATTCAATGTATGCAGTTTCATCTTTCTTACATTAGTCTGACTAGGATTAGACTCGGACTGTCATGGTGATGTCTGCTTTCGTCTAATTTCTTGTTCATGCCGCTGGATTACTAACTTTTCGATGTATTTTTTTTTTCATGGAATGCCTTGGGTTCAAATGAAAATGAACATGAAAACACTTACTTTATAACAAAGATGAACTTGATAGGACGCTAACAAAACCAGAAGACATCAATGAAATATGGAGAACCTACTTCGAAGAAATGGCCACCACAAACCGCAATATCAACTCCACACCAAAAGCCAATCTCATGGAAGGACCAGTGCCAGAAATCACGGATGAGAAAGTATGGCTAGTTGTAAGAAGAAAGAATGGCAAAGCGACTAATCGACAAAATACCAAGCGACTTCTGGAAAATATGTGGACAATCCGAAGCCACATGCCTAAGGCTTGATACATACCTAGCGTCTGGTGTCTATACGTAGCAGTGGCAGTAATGCGATTTGTGCATATTGATTGCAGCGGAGTGACGCTACTGACTCTCGCTGCAGCAGCTAACACGGAAGGTCTGTCCATACCTAGCGAGTCATTTTTGAACAGCGCTGCGCAGCGCTGCTCAAGCTGATCAGCGCTGCAACGAGATTTGCAGCTAAGTTACGCTCACTTTTTCTGAGCGTATCTCAACTGCTATGAGCTGCAAACAGCTGTTTTGGCTCGAAGTTACCTATTTCTAACAATTTTCAAGCTGTAACTAGCGTTCTGAAAACACATCCGTCTTTATATTGCATGAGCAAGTCATGAATGCAACCTAATAGCTTATTTAGGGTTTCAGAGGATATGAGGAAATATTGAGACACACTGGAGGGACATACTCCATGAACTTGAAGAGAAATGAAGTAATTGATACTGACTACCATTGGCAATATTTTAAAGAGATGACAGCGTAATCAGATAAAGTTTGGCCTCCAGTGGACTCCAATCATGTCATTGCCTAAGGGACACTTTCATACTACTGGGACAGCCATTGCCTTATCAGGGGTCGAATGAAATGAGTACAATTGAATTGCACTTTTGAGTTTGCTGGTATGAGCTATTATTCTATTGTAAATTTAATGATGAAAAATGAAAAATGAAGAACTTCTCATAAAAGTTGCAATGGATTAGATCTAACTTAAAATATGCTATTTCTCTTCTTTTTGACTTAACAAAACTCGACATTAGCGCAGTTATTTTTGATGGTTTCTGCACTCAACGTGCACTCAAGCAGCCAAGCTCAGCGCTGATCAGCCGGAGCAGCGCTGCCTTCGCTGCTCGCTGGTTTTGTCCATACCTAAGCAGCGAGGTATGTATCAGGCCTAACCAGTCTTCTCAATCAAGTCAAGGAGCAAAAGTATGCCTCGCGACTGGTCCACCAACAGATCGCTACTGGAAGAACAAAAGAAATAGCAGACTGCACCTACCGACCAATCCGACTGGAGAGCCAATGAAAAATCTTTGAGCGAACGACAGAACGCGTATTTGAGACCGACAGGGCGGATTCATAAAAGGGATAGATACAGCTGACGCGATCCAGTCGAATAATGACTGACAAATATAGAGAAAAGCAAAAAAAGTTGCAAGCAGCCTTTTTGGAGCCAAAGAAAGCTTTCGAAAAGGCCTTACAGAAACACAGGGTGACAGAGGAGTATGCTCAGTGGATAAAGTTTATCTACCACGCTTCAAGCAACGTGCAAACACCTGCAGGGCAATCGAAAGAATACCAAATCAAGGTTGGATTACACCGAAATTCGGTTTCATCTCCCTTACTCTTCATCACTGCGATGAACGCCGTGATAGAGCCGCTCAAATTTGAATCTGCACGAAACATCTCTACGCAATGATGTGGTCTTGATAGCAAGTACCAGAAACGAGCTACAAGACAAGGCACAAAACTGGAAGAACAGGCTGGAGTTGTATGGCTTGAAGCTCAACAGCAGGAAGACAAAATATATGGAAGTGGATAAACGAACTCCTGGTACCATGAGCATCGATGGTGATTAGTTAAAGAAGGCAAAGTCATACAAGTGCCTAAGCAGTCACATCTTAGTGAAGGGGGATCACAAGAGGAGGTCGCAGGCAGGATGAACAGGCATGGATGAAATGGAGAGCTTTACCAGTTGTGTGCAACAGGAGAATGTCAGTGCAACTTGAGTCCCAACTCTACCGGTACCATTATCTACTCAACAGCACTGTATGGCAGTAAATGCTGGCCGTGTACGCGAAACGAGAAGCGCAAGTTTAGTGTCATGGAAACAAGGATGATACGATGGACCGTAGGATTTACACTGAAAGATCACATCTGGAAACACTATACGAGCGCAAAGAAAACAGCTCAAAAAATGCAAGGAAAGAGATTACGATGGTGTGGGCATGTGCGCAGAAGGGAAGAGAGGCACATCACGAAGTAAGCCCTAACTGTGGAGACACCAGGCAAAAGACCTGGAGGCAGATCCAAGATGACGTGGATGGACAGAATTAAGGCCGACTTGCGAGAACTTATTATAAACGAAGACCTTGTCTTAGATAGGACAACATGGAGACATCTGACAAAAAAAAAGCAGACCCAGCATGGAAACATGCGAGGATTGAAAAAATGAGGCAGAGTATAGCAGTATTGCCTCTGTTAGACGGTTGGCTCTATCATGCAAATTTTTCAGACCATTGAGCAAATAATAGGTTGTAACATGAGTCTTGGACACTCTAAATTCTTACTGCGATAAGTCATGCAGTTCACATTTTTAGTAGGGATCCAGGGTACCATTCGATAGAGCAAAGCAAAACCTACAAGATGGTCTGCAAAACTTCGCCCAACTTCGACCACTTTAAGCTTGGAAGCAAAACGTATGTCGTACTTAAGGCTTAGAAAATCGCAAAAAATTCATATTTTTGTTCAAAAAAATTCTGCTAATCACCAATTGCCTGATGTAGTGCGCATTTCTTGCTCACAAGAAATGCGCACTACATCAGGCACTCATATCTTTACCATTTTTTCGTTATTTAGAAATCGAGAAAACGAAAATTTTCAAGCTTCCACAAAAACGAAGCTAAGTTGTTTCCACTTATGTGATTGTATACTACTACATTCCCTTAAAAGTATAACCGTAAATTTGCAGTTTTTTACAGGCCTTAGATTTCGAGAAATATTGATTTTAGCATGAAACACCCGAGTGAGGAGGGCTAATAGGAGAGACAATACTTCTCAAAAACTAGGGCCTGTAGAGAACTGAAAATTCAGGTTATATTAGGTTGATGCATGATTCCTGCACCAAAATAGGTACAGACCGCAATCCGGAATAATCCTATATCCCAAACAGAATTCGATATATTTTTTATTTATTGAATGCACAAAAAGTGCGCCCATCATAAAACAGCAGAAAACCAAGTAATAGTCAGTAAGAAAAAAAGAAAAATGAAACACTAAATGTACAAAAACTTGAAAGCAGTACTCGTAAAGAAACTCGAGCAACACTCATACAGGCACGTGCGAGAAGAATGATACCACCAACCAAACAAAGGATGATGTAGAGATTATAGCATCCAAAATTGACTACCTTAGTTGATCTTATATCGTTGGTTAGTGAAACTGCCAGATGCCACTGTCTTTTTGATCATGAGCCATGAAAATAGGCTTATAATAGTATTTACATAGAAGGCACTCACTGAGTAGGTGGTAAAGTTGAGACTGACTGAAAGGCATAAGTATACCATGGCAATTAATCGAACTTTCAATTTCTATAATGGGAATTTGATATGAAAGAGTGAGACCAAGGCGAATGGGCGAAACCATACGTACTTTGCTTAATCAGCTGAGCTCACCCTAAAGATGCGTATCATGAGGCTTTATTTGCAATAATAACTAGCCTTCAGATGTACTTTATGGTTGCCTTTTCATATAATATTTCCTATTCCCAAAATCGGTATGAGAGGGTGAGAACGAGGCGAATGGGCGAAACCATGCGTATCTCGGCTAAGTCGTGAAAGCTCACCCAAGTTATATGTCGACAGCAGTTGAAAGAGTAGTCAAGTTTCTGCCGTAATCTGATCAGCAAAAAAGGTCGGTGGAATCATTTTGAACTATTCAGAAAAAAATTGGTGTCATCATATTAACATTTTGTCTCTGTCTGATAGTGATATACAATAGATATAGATGTAGTTGCGAATTTCTGCTGCAGGAAAACGCCACAACCATTCTCGCGAAATAGCTAACTAGTCGATCAAGATGAATTTGATGTTGGAGAGCGCCATTTCACAGTGCATTGGCATACGTGTACGGAATTGTAGCAGCACCAAAAGAGAAAAACGGTAACTGGAAATAAACTGAAAGTTAGTCTAAAAATTCAAAGATGAAAGCTGAGTGTCAGTTCTCATCAACTTAGTCCTGAAGGAGCTTGCGTTGTAGAAGTGCACAAGACAGTGTATTTGGCTAGAAAAAATCAGCAACACTGAGCGTCTGTTTCGGCCACGCAAACGTCATTTCACCAAAACCACTGTTTTTACTATTGCAATCACACATTAATTTAGCTTGTAGCTCCATACCCTCAAAATCAGTTCTACAAGAAACCAAAAACTTTGACATGGATACATCATCATGCAAACAATGCAGCCGCTTCAAATCAAGTGTTTGCGTGAGAGAAAAACTGAGTTTTGAGGCTCGAAATTGTGCTAACCCTAAGGTAAGGTTGCATCTTGGTGAAAAACGGCATGAAAATGCAAAGATTTTCCAAGCGTCAAACAAAATACTTATCGAAAAACCTTATTTTATCTCACAGCTTTGGTAGAAGCTAATTACAGCGCGTAAACCATAGAAAAACGAATGTTTTTGAAGCACAACCACTCCAAAAGCATTTAGAGCCATCTGAAATAACGGTCCTCTTTTTGAACTGCACTGGGTTCAGTGTGTAGCAGATATGTCACACTTTGTTACTGTAACTCTAGAAAATTTGGCCTCGAAAGATTGCAATCTTGAATGAAAAATGGACCTTTGTTTGAGGTGTTCGTATAATTATGAACAGCTAAAAAATCGTATTAGGCGCAAAAACACTTCTAAGATGGACATTTCTATTCTCATGGATCATATATCGTTTTCGGCTGTGCTCTATCGCGCGGTACCAACGGCTTTTTGAGTTTTTTCCAAAAAGTCCGGAAACTTTCAAAATTTTGGGTGTTCGTATAATTATGAACCGCACCTTACCACTTTTACCAAACGCGGTCGCGTAGGATTGGGCTTTCCCATGCGAAAGATTTCCACTGGGTGACATTCAACTTTCAAAATGTCTAACACTTCACCAACGACACCCTCAAGTTGAGTGCACCGCTCATGAAAGCGCAGATTACTGTCCGCCTCAGGGATGCCACTCACAACTATGTTAGGGGCACGTTTTTCTGCCTCTAGTCAACCGAAGCAATCTTCGGTATTTTCTCGGATAAAACCGACAGCATTTTATCAATGAGCGGATCATTGTTTCTTTCCCTGATGGTACTGATCAGGTCTTCAACAATAAAGTTTGAGAAGTCCTGCTCACAGGTTTGACTGCTCGCATCGACATTTTTTAAACGCTGTTGAGACCCGGCAGTAGTTTTTCCAGCGCGCTCACTCTTTGGTGTCATGATTAACAGTTTGAATTTGGTAACACACAAAAACACGAAACTTTGAAATGATATGTACAGAAGAAAAAAATGAGCTCAAAAATGTTGTTCACACCTCCAAGAGAGTGCGCAAAAAAATAGAATGATCCGAGCAAAGATATGCCGCAATAGAACAGCTAGCAATAAAAGAGAAAGCACTGACCCGACCGCACAGGACGGCACCACGTGTAAGAATGATATATCATTAGATAGAGCAAACCTAGCTCTACAAGGTATTGCTTAAAGTTTTGCAGAAGCTTTGATCCAAGCGAAGTTGAAGCCAAAAACCGAAAAGATCCAAGCGCCCCAGTAAACCGAGTAGTCCGTTCAGAAAAACCATTCAAAATTCCTAACTTGCTCATGCATTGTCATTTCGTATAAGACATTTCCCTATGCAGTTGTTGCATTTTTCTCTCAGCTAGAAAATGAGAAAACGAAGTTTTTTATGTTTTTTCCAAAACAATGCTGAGATGTTCTAGCACTGACTGTCGTGTACTATAGGACCTTAACCTTACAAGAGTAAGTGTGAATTTTCAGCTCTTTGCAGCAGCTGGTTTATGAGAAACTAGCTGGCTTACCCGGCTCCGCCGTATGTTCCGAATAGAAAATTCCATTTCTTAACCGATTCGGACCAAACTTGGCACACATACCTTTCGGGCCCCGGCGGGTGATCAGCATGCTCGATTACCCCCCCCCCCTGTGCCAAATCCCAGCCCCGTAGCTCAAATTTTGCAAAAAATCGATAAAATCGATATCGATCGATACGAAAAGTAGCCTATGACACCCGCCGGGGCCCGAAGTGTATGTGTGCCAAGTTTGGTCCCGATCGGTTCAGAAATGGAATTTTCTATTCGGAACATACGTACATACATACATACAGACAGACATACAGACATACAGACAAACAGACATTCAGCTTTATATATAAGATATCGAATTTTTAGCAACTAGGCAAGAAAAATTCGGATAAGGACAGCTGTCGTCATTTCTCGTGGACTAGCAGTTCTAGAAGGCTGAAACTGTAAAGTTTCATTGCTAACGGCATGTACTATACAACTGCTTGTGCTAGAACACCTCAGCACTAGTTTGGCAAAAACATGAAAAACTTCGTCTTCTCAGTCTAGCTGAGAAAAAATACAGCAGCTGCATAGGTAAATGTCTTAAAGGCAGTGTCCAAGCAAAAAGTCGATTTTGAGATTTTGTGCTTACCCGGGCCTATTCGCCATGCTGAATCCCATAAACCACAATGGAAAGCGCGAAAATGCCGAAAAAAGGCCCTAACGCAGGAGGGAAATCGCAGGTGGGCGGGGCTGTTCACACCGTGACGTCACTCTTCCAGGCTTTAGGAGCGATCTTCTCGAGGTTCCGATTTTATGTCATGCGTTTCGCAGTTGGCTAGTGGTGATGCTAGGGTGACTAGCGGAAACGAGAAGATCGCACCTGAAGCTGAGAGAGTGACGCCACTATGTGAACAGCCCTGCCCACCTGCAATTTCGCTCCTCCGTTAGAGCCTTTTTTCGTCATTTTCGCGCTCTCCCGTGTTGATTTTCGGATTCAGCATAGCGAATAGGTCCAGGTAAGCACAAAATCTCGAAATCGACTTCTTGCTTGCACACTGCCTTTAAGTGGAATGCCTACGCAGAAGCAAGAAAGATATTTTGTAGGCACTTTTTGAACGAAGTTACAATTTGTTTTGATTTGTCTTAAGGTTTTTGGACGCATGCTTTTTTTTCATTTTTCGGCTCAAAACTTCGCGCGGACCAAAGCTGGTGTAGATATTTGAGCACTATCTATTTGGGATGTAGGATAAAGGATTATTCCGGATTATTACGGTCTGTAAATATTTTGGTGCAAGAATTATGCATCAACCTAATACTTCTTAGGGAATGTAGTATATAATTACATATGTGGAAACAGCTTACAAGGGAATGGTTAGAAGTCAAAGTGGCCAAACCAAACAAGCTGCATATCATTCGATGCAGCAAAAGATGATGATTTCAAATCTGTCTTCCATATCTGCAGAGCGCCTTCATAGGCGAAGTTATGAGCAGCTTTATTGCAAAAAACCGTTTACAAAAATTGCAAATTTAGGCAGATTATTGCTCTTTCAGCTCCACTCTAGGTACGGGTCATATGATGTGACCTAGTTGTATGTTTTGGTCCAACACTGAGCCACGAATGGCTTTGTACGGCCAAATTTGCACTTTACACGCACAATTTCTTAGCAAAATAATGGCATTCAAAGGCATTTTCGTCCACAAGAGCGCTCTGCAGATAAGGAAGACAGATTTAAAGTCAGCGTTTTTTGCTGCATCTAATGGTATGCAGTTTGTATGGATTGGCCACTTCGACTTCTGACCATTCCCTTATCAGCTTCGTTTTTGTGGAAACTTTAAAATTTTGCGTTTTTTCGATTTGTAAATAACGAAATGCAATAAATACAGGTAGGGTAGAGGTGAGTGCCTGATGTAGTGCGCATTGTTTGTGAGCAAGTTGGAGATTAGCAGAATTTTTTTGTACAAAGATACGAATTTTTTGCGATCTTCTAAGCCTTTAGTATGACTTACACTGTGCTTGCAAACTTAGAGTGGGTCAAAGTGGGGGCGAAATTTTGCAGACCATCTTGTAGGGCTTGCTTTGCTCTATCAAATGGTGCTGAATCTTTATTCAGAATGTGAACTGCATGACTTATCGCCGTAAAAATTTAGTGTCTCAAGACTTATGTGACAACCTAATATAATCTGAGTTCTACGTCAAGGTTCGCTTCATTCTATAGACATTTCGCAATGCTAACCTAATTTGTGAAGTACATCATTTACATACAGAAACCTTTATTCATATTATTTAAAAGAGGGGATTGCATACAGTTCTCACAACTTCGTGCAATATGCCCATATCTAGATTCTGAAAAACTATGGTATTTTGTTGGCTAATGAAAACGTCAGCAAGAAATACCTCCAGCTTGCCAACTTCTACCACGTTTTTGACTCCTCCGGCCATGTTTATCACATTATCCATGCATTTCTGACTATAGCTGGTAGTATTACTTTTGTCCACATTAGGACCAACAGCCACATAAATGAATTTGATGCCTTGGTCTCTGGCCTGCGAAAAAAATAGCTAATTATTGATTCCTACACACGCGTTAAATTATGTTATGAGTAACGAGTGCTCCTTACGAGGTGGTAAAGTGGCCTCAAAAATAATTTTTATATAGTAATAATATGACTGTATTTTTAGAGCGTCTTGGTTTAATAAAAAATCTTGCTGTTGGAAAATGTAACAAGGAAAATTGAGTCAAAGATTTACCACCCCTTTGTTGACGATGAAACCCTTCCTTTCCAAATCAGTCTCGAAAAAGAATCTTCAAAATAAAAGTTATGCACGCTTTGCATTACGACTTCCCATGAATTTCTAACATTTGATTCGCTCTTTGTTGAGTTAATAGTTGCCCTCGCCAAACCCTTGTCTTCCACCATGGAGGTAAGCGGATTTTCGAAATTGCCTTTGCGAGGACGAGCAAGCATATCTGTAATAAACACTCTCCCGCTGGATCATTAGAGACAAATCTGTTCATACATACGCGGTAAGGTGAGAATGACCCCTCCCCTAGGGTAAAGGAAAGCACAGTGTTCGCGGCCTCTTTAGGGTGAGACAAAGAACATCGAACAGCAGCGGTACCAAGTAAGGTGTATTGAATCATTCTTGCTTCCGTTTCAGAAGACATATAGCTTGTCTTGTTTTGCTGTTTAAAAAATTTAGTAAAGAGAGGTGCAAGCAATGTTTATACATTTTCGAATTTTCGGATTTAATGAAAATTGCAATCTCTTTAGACAAATGGTTGGAATGCTAAGGGTGCGTTTGAAACTGCCTTGTTTTCCGCTCCCGTAAAAGTGCCTGGTGAGGGGGGTTGGAGGTGATGGGTATTCAAGAACATTCATTAAAAAGTTAAAGGATTCGACGTTTTCAACTCCTCGGTGGGCATGCGACGAACCCACCTTACTTCAAATCGAAAAAAACTACTGAATGCGTGCGAGCCTATTACAATGACTTATATCTGTGGCTTACTCAAAGAATTTTAAGGATAAAAAATTCATAGTTTTTTGAGATAAACAATTGAAACTCCCCAAAGGCCGTCATCGGAACCATCTCGTCTTCCGTCAAAAGATCTACAGCTTGTCCAGGATCTGCTTATAAAGGTTGCTGGTAGTACCTTTAAAAGTATTCTAGAGCCCATATGGCCTGTATGCACGTACATCCACGCGTGGGATGGGAGAGGATAGTACTGATGATATACTACAGCACTGTTAAACATGCTTATAGTAGAAATAAGTAAAGTCTTAAGATATCGACATCTTCGATGAATGCTGCGAGCTAGGGATTACCGAGTAATTCACAATCTTCAAATTCCATTTCTTCTGACGAAAACATGCTTAGCAGTGCCGTAGTATATCTTCAGTACAAGTTTGTAGCGTTTCTATTGAAAATAAATTACTTTGAAGATGACAACTGATCTTTTGGGGATTCCCAGATCACACAAATAACAAAAAAGCAATTCTGTATGGAAGTTATGGCATCCATTATGCGCAGGATAAATGTATGAGGCATGGTAAGAAGTTGTAGTGACTCGACTCTGAAGCATGTGTTCGTTTGAGTGGCCACTCAAATGCATGGACAGCATGCTTTGCCATACTCTTTTGCTTTTGCGCCAAGACGAGACCCGGCCTGCTTCCAAAACTTCATTGTCAGGCTCTGCTAATCTTAGGCCCGTATGCAGGTACATCCCCGCAGGGAGGGGAGGGGATCTGAAAGGAAAAGCCTCATATTTCGCTACTCTGTATATCTTTCGTCTTGCTTTTTTATCTGTAATATGAAGGTTCTCATACCCTAATACCTGCGCATAATGGATGCCGGGTTATTGTCATACAAGATTAGATTTTCACAACTTTATGTGATCCCCTGGAGATCCCCAGGGGATCACTTCTCAATTTCAAAGTATTTATCTTCCTACAAATTCTACGAAAATGTTCTAAATTTGTGCTGAAGGTGTAATATGGTACTGCTAAACATGTCTATAGTAGAAATAAGAGAAATCTCAGAATATCGAAATTTTCGATGAACCGCTGCTCGCGAGCCAGGGATTATCGAAAAATTATAATCTTCAGATTCCATTTCTTCTGTCAAAAACATGTTTAGCAGTGCCGTAGTATATCCTCAGTACAACTTTACGGCATTTTCATGGAGATTTCAGAAAGATAAATAACTTCGAAAATGAGAGGTGATCCCCTGGGGATTCCTAGGGGATCACCCAAGCTGGTTTAATCTAATCTTGTATGGCAGTAACCTGGCGTCTATTATGCCTAGATATCAGGGGTATGAGAACCTTCATATTACAGGTAAAGAAGGAAGAAGAAAAGTATACAAAGTAGCGAAATATGACGCTTCCCCTCCCCTCCCCGCGGGAATGTACGTGCATACGGGCCTTGATTCCTTGCTTGCTTTCCAAAAATTTGTTCCTCACAAACATAATGAAAGAAACCAGAAGACATTCAGTATGATAATACAAGTCATAACACCCATTCGTTGCAAATTAGCCGTATCTCTTACAAAATCCTTTAGTATCTTTTGCACTTACTGCTTTCGCTTCTGCTTGTTGGGGATGTTTTTTCATAAGTTTCCATTCCTCAACACATGGATAATCCACATCTTCGTTCTGCCAGAAAGTGTCATCGTCATCACATATATCTTGGTCTCCATCAGAGAAAAGTATCATCATTCTGTGCTTTGTCTTCTCTTTCTGAATACATTTCTCAAAAAAGTGAAATCATTTTTTCAAAAAATGAAAAAAATAAAGGATAAAAATTTTGTCCTTCTTTTTATTATTTGTTCACTTCCTCATTATGTAGCATACCGATAAAGTTTAGTTCTTGGAGTGGCATTCGAAATTTATTTAGAAATTGTTGTGTTCTCCACGTCGGACACGTCGACTCTTCGTCCTGAGGCAGCACACGAGGAACAGAGAATATTTATTAGAAAATAATAGAACAGCCAAAAATAAAAGAGGCAGATGAGTGAACAGACGAACTGACTAGAGCTAACAGCGAGCGCCTTTTATAGCGCTCATTTCCCGCGCAATGAGGCTGCAGACGCCTCAGCGAGTGCAGATCATACGAGAAAACAGCTGATCAGACACTAACACAACACCTCCCCCAGTAGGGTAGTTACAACAGAACTAGCCTACGACAAAAGCATGAACTATAAATATGAACAACAAGAAATTGGTTGTACATAAATATCACTATCATTCAAACAAAACTACAAAAAAATGAAAGAAACATACAATAGCATACTATGAACTAGGTTGGAACCGTTGTACCGGTCTTGTCGTTCTGCTCCTGCGAAGCGTTGTGGGTGGCGTGGAGGGCTCGTGGCTTGATGTCGACGTCGATGTCGTTCAATCCAGGGGTGCTGGCACATCGCTCGCGATCGCTTGCTGGGAATTCTCGTCGGCTGCACTGCTATTCCTCCGTAGAGTGTCGTCTTCTGTCAAAACATCTGTGAGTATTTTCAAGGCTTCGGACTGTTGATAAAGTTGTTGTCGCACGGCGAGCTGTTCGCTATCGCTTCGATGGAGTAGCTGATTTGCATGCTTCTTGCACATCTCGTCGCCAACCATAACTTCATAATTGACACGTCCAATACGCCTCATCACGGTTCCTTTCATCCAATGGATGTGGGGTGGCTTCCACTGTTTAGCGTAAACCAAGTCACCAACTTCGAATTCTTTTCGAACGACACCATGCTTCTGGTCGAACTGATCCTTCATGCGCTCCCGTCTCCTTCGTGCGAGTGGGTCTTCTGCATCTTCTGTCATCGGGAGTAATAGACTTAATTTTGTGCGCAAGTTTCTGCCTATTAACAACTCCGCTGGCGTCTTGTCGTTCAAGTTCGTGTTTGGTGTTGTCCTATACGCTTGTAACACCACGTTTAGTGTCTCTTCTGTTGGCCTTTCCTCCCCCTCCAGTTTCTTGATCCCGCGTTTCAGCGTGTCAACGAAACGCTCTGCCTGTCCATTCGATTGAGGGTGATACGGAGCAGTCCTTATATGTGTGATTCCACCTTCGTCACACATCTTCTTAAACAAGTCCGACGTGAACTGAGTACCGTTGTCGCTCACTATTGTTTGCGGTAATCCATATCTCGCAAACAAATTCTTCAGAGCCTCCGCCGTTTTCGAAGCCGAGATATTGCTCATCTCGATCATTTCAGGCCATTTGCTGTACGCATCTACCACGACCAAGTAGAAAACATCTTGCATAAGTCCAGCGAAGAGGATGTGTATTCGCTGCCACACTCGAGTCGCGGAAGGCCACGCCTCTAATGGTACCTTCGTCGGATTTTTGGCTAACTCCTGACATTTCGTACATCTTCGTACCAAGTCTTCGCAATCTTTGTCAATATTCGGCCAATAGACGTAACTTCAAGCCAGCTTCTTCACCCTTACAATTCCTGGATGACCACTATGCAATTCCTTCACAGCATTTTCTCGAATCTCCTTGGGTATCACAACCCTTTCGGCTGACGTTAGACATTGCTCGACGATTGACAAAGTCTCTCTTCGATTTCGAAAATGTGCCAGTTCTCCATTCATGTCTGGCCACTGCCCTTTCTTCAAGTACGTCATCGCTCTTTGTAGCACTGGGTCCTTCTTCGTGTGGGATTGCACATCTGATATTGTCACTGGTAGTTTCCTAATACAATTCTTCAACATGTAGTTTACGTCGTTCTCAACGGCAGCTATTACGACGTCTTCTTCGGGAATTCTGATTCTTCTTCATCAACCGTGACAAGCCATCAGCTTGCGCGAACTTCGTAGTCTTGACATACTCTATGTCAAAATCATATCCAAGCAGAATTGTAGCCCATCTCATGAGTCGGTTAGCGGAGTAGACTGGAACTCCTTTCTTATCACCGAAGATGGCTAACAATGGTTGATGGTCCGTCAACAACAGAAACTTTCGTCCAAATATGTACTTGTGAAATTTCTTGACAGCGAAGACGATTCCCAACGCTTCCTTTTCAATTTGCGAATAATTCTTCTCTGCTTTCGTAAGAGACCGCGATGCATGTGCGATTGGCTTTTCGGATCCATCGGCATACCTATGCGATATCACACACCCGATACCATAGTCGCTTGCGTCCGCTGCCACGACGATCTTCTGCCTCGGATCACAGTGAGCAAGGTTCAGCTCACTTGACAAAGTTTCCTTAGGCTTTTCGAATGCTTCTTTATGTGTTCGTGTCCATTCCCACTTCGCATCTTCCTTCAGCATCGCATCTAATGGTCCACGAAGATCCTTAATCTTTGGCATGGACGCCGCATATTACGTTATCATGCCAGGAAAAGCCCTCAGTTGACTAACATTCTTCGGCTCATCCATATTCTTGATTGCTTCGATCTTCGCTGGGTTCGGTCTTCTGCCATTTCGATCTACTATGAAGTCGTATTTCTGGCTTGCCGAAAGAACACTTCTCTAACCGAATCCTGAATCCATATTCGGCTATTTTTGCAAAAACAGCTAGCAAGTTCTCCATATGTTCTTCTTCGGTTCTTCCACAAACCAAGATGTCGTCTAGGTAGGTTGCTACTCCTCGCAGACCATTCCCATCTTGTTCATGATTTGCTGGAAGATCCCTGTTGCTGTCTTGATTCCAAAAGGCAGTCTGTTGTACTAATACAGTCCTCTATGCGTATTTATTACGACCAAATTCTTCGCTTCTTCTGACAACTCGATCTGCAGGTAGGGTCCGACAAATCTATCTGCGAAAACACCGTGCCTGCATTAAGGGATGCGAATATATCCTCCGGCAATGGCAACGGATAATCGTACGACTTCAACGCTTTGTCGAGTCCGGTTGAGAAATCAGCACACACTCTCAACTTTCCATTCGCTTTCCTGACGCATACGATAGGAGCTGCCCATTCGCTATGTGTCACTGGACTTATGACCTTTAATTCCTATAGTCTATCCAGCTCCTTTTCGACAGCTTCGAGTGCAGCATGGGGGACAGGCCTGCAAGCCTTGAACACCACTGGGCGAACGTTTTTGTCAATTCGCATGTGTGCTTTCTCCATTGTGCAGAGCCCTAAGCCTTCCTTGCAGACTTCGGGATAGGCTTCTTTAAGCTTTAGAGCGATGTCCTTGGTTTGCTCTGTCTTTACTTCAGCAACCATTCTGCTTAAGTGATACGACATATCTTCGTTTTTCTGGATCCACTTCAATCCTAGCAGTGAGTTGTGGGGCGTCACATATAGGCTGTACCAACCGGCATCGGTCATGCGACTTGCGACGATGCGATCTGGCGCGCGCGAACTCTGCCACGCGTTATAGCACGCCGCGTGCGACGGTGCGTTGTCGCAAGGCCTGCTGGCGGGAGACCGATGCCGGCTGATACAGCCTATATGCATAGCCTTCACTTCTGGATCCTTTGATCTCGTAGTCGCACCATAGCTTTCCACGGACATCCATTGAGCCTCCATTAGCGTTCTTAACAACTACGTTCGTCTCTTCCAAACGAGGTGCACCCATGCTTCTCCAAATTGATTCGTCTAACAGTGTGATGTCTGATCCAGTATTTAGCAGGAAACTAACTGGATGACTATTCACTTTTGCTTCGACATACATGCGTGTCGAGTTGACATCCACCATCGCATTTGCAATCTTCGCTACGCTGTGCACATGACATTTTGGTTTCGTCCAACTTCTATTCTTACTAATGTCGCTGCTTCTGTGGATTCTTCGTTTCGAATCTTGCTGAACAAGTGCTTTCCTGTCCGCCACTTGTTCGCAATACTTCTCCTTGTGACCTGTCGTTTTGCACTTCTTGCAGAATCATAGTTTCGCTTTGCATTCCCTGGCGAAGTGAGCTTTACTACAGTTCCAGCATTCCAGCTTCTTGGGTTCTTCCTTGCTTGTTGCTTCGACAATCTTCGTGCAACCAGCCACAGTCTCGCTATCCTTCTTGAGACTAAGGAAGTTTTCGCACTCCAGATACAACTCCTGCAGCGACATTTTTTGTCCGGCCTTGTACTCCTTGTTCAGTACGGCTATAAGTCGCTGCCTAATTTCGGCTTCCTTTTGGCTCTTCAGGCCAAAAATCCATAGTAAGCATTTTATGCCATCGCTGTCCAAGTCATGGATCTTCGCTTTTTCGCACAATTCGTTCACTCGACCGGTGTACAGGAGGTAATCTTCGGAATCTGCTTTCTCCGTTTCAGACACTGGTACCGCGTGAATTCTGAAATCTTCACGTCGAGCAGCTGCTTCAATATTTCGACGGTTTCTTCGAACTTAATCGCAGTTACCTCTTTCGGTAGCACATGCCTCTGGTATTTTTCGAAACTGTCCTTGTCCAATTTTTCAGAGCAGCCTCACCCTGGCACTCTCTGTGAGTTGCTTCGCATCTTCGACGAAGACTTCCTTGTAGCGGGCGTACCATTTGCTGAAGCACATGTCCGCTTCGGGGTCGAAGTAGAATTTTTCGATCCAATTGCTCAGTGCGGACATCATATTCGGAATCTCCGTCGAACTGCTCTGCTTCGTGCCTCCAATGTGTTTCAGGAACATCTCCATCATCTCCTTCCTTTCTTCTTTGATCATTTCCTTGAAGATCATCATCATCTCTTGGACGTCCACTTTCGCCATGTCGATCGATCACTTCTGCTTACGAATCTTCGATCTTCGATTCAATCCAAAGCTTGGTTCTTCGCCTACTCTTCGATAGTAGCCGCCCGTCCTGATCGCCACTGTTGTGTCCTCCACGTCGGACACGTCGACTCTTCGTCCTGAGGCAGCAAACGAGGAACAGAGAATATTTATTAGAAGATAATAGAACAGCCAAAAATAAGAGAGGCAGATGAGTGAACAGACGAACTGACTAGGGCTAACAGCGAGCGCCTTTTATAGCGCTCATTTCCCGCGCAATGAGGCTGCAGGCGCCTCAGCGAGGGCAGATCATACGAGAAAACAGCTGATCAGACACCAAAACAACAGACATGTAGTAAGCATTGTGTATTTCTGATTAAAGCAGAAAGTTTTGTGTGCAGTAACTTGTTCCCTATAGAGCTTTTCCAGCGTAAAATTGAGTTGAAACACTCTACACCTTCGTTACCCCAGAAAATTGCCAAAAAAATTTTTTTTGAGCCGATTCGCCGAACCCTTTCGATTTTAATGTGTTGTGGCACTTTGCAATAAAAATAAACTTTGCCTACTGATTCCTTAGTTTTATGTTCACTACAGCAGTAAAGCCTATTTCAACGTTGAAGTGAAAAGGATGCGGAGATTTGAAAACCATATAGCAGGTGAGTCAATGCTAGCACAGAAATGTTTGTCAGGTGGCGGAGGCGGGAGCACTTTGGAGAAAGAGAAGAGGCGAATGGAGAGGGTCGGTGTGGTTGAGAGAAATATGAGACTCTCTTCTTTCCGTGCGACATCCAATGAAGCCGTAACTCTATGAGAGAAGATGCCGGCTAATGACATAAAAATTTCAGAGAATGTAAATATCTTGAATGTGTGTTTGTTAGACAAAATTTTCTGAATAAACGAGGTCGGCAGGATGTGATGATTTAAATTGACAAGTTGTGCAGAGGTGGTAAGTGTTTGCTGCTTACAACAAAGAGCATGGATGCGAGGTATATTGGTGTTACTAGTTTACAAAATACTTTATGCTGTCGATAGGGGGGGGGTCTGTACAACGGGATATTTAAGCACAAATTAGGAATACGATATTTATTTTGAGGTAATCGATGCCTTTACCGGGTCCATCAATGTTTGCAACCAGTAAGGTGGCAGCTGTGATGTCATAGCCGACTGAGGCTGAATTCATCAAAAGCTTTTTATCTCTTCTAACAGTTTTTGCAGGTTTTCAATGGGGAACTGTGGTCATACATAGAATTAGTAAAAGTGTCGTCAGTTCAGTGCTTCTGGCAGGGGACAGAAACCGGGGTGAAGCTGCAAGGGGAGGGGGGTCTGTTGTGTTCGTCAACAGCCCGAACGAAGCCGGAATATCAGCTGGTAATTCAACAAGAACGGACAGCATATGCGCGTTTCGTGGAAGTCTCGAAAAAGTAAGAGTGTTCTCTTCTTTTGCCATCACCATGGGAACACATTAGAAACGTCAGCATGCGCGCATCCCTATACAATGTAAGTTTTAGAGACATCTTCTACATGATCTGAGATTGGAAAAATGCCAAGAACAACTCGCTTGACAAAAGGACTCGCATCAATTGCCAACTCTTCGTAAATGTTCGCGACTTTTTTGGACTACGCCCCGACCTACGCCGCCTTTTATCTCATTTTTTCGTTTTTTTTTTCACTTCAAATTTGCTTGCACTAAAAATGGACAATAAACTGTCGTAAACATTCTGATGCGTCTTGAACATACTTCCAGCATTTGCCTTGCTAGATATATTGAGTATCCGACAAGTGTGAATGATTCTTGATAATTCCTGTTCTTCTGAATCCATTCGCTGGAACAAGTAATATATTTGCAAGTCACATAATGAATAAAGTGTGAAGCACGTATTGACTTAGCTTAGTACTTATATTATCAAAAAATGGAAATAAAAGTTTTTAGACCTCAGCTGTGCTGGAGTGTGGTCGCCCATTTCTAGCGCAACAATCGGCATTTGAATAATCTTGACTATTCCAGTTCTGATATTCCTCACGTGTTTCACAAGATTGTGCATGAATTGGATTTGCTGTAAAAAATTATATCAGCCAATTTGAAATCTTTGTAAAGACGGCAAAACATTGTGTCATATCAACAAATCTTTCCCTTGGTTAACACAAATTATCCTAACTTTTCTATTATATATTCAAAATGATTGCCAGGGTCAAGCAAGGGGTGTGGCACACGATCGCTGGTTACGACTCCCCCCCCCTGATTGCTGTCTCAATAAGACCCCACCCCTGGACTCCCTTAAGATAGCATTACTTGGAGGCCCTGTCAAACATAATGGGCAACATATCCATAATGAGCATGTCAATTAACTCAAAACCTGCGCCGCAGGTTTTGAGGGGGGGGGGGGTGCCGCAGGCCATTAACCATATCAAAAAAACATTTTTAGCGGACAATTTTTATATGAATCAATAGCCTAAACCTCGTAGATTCCATAGGTATGTTTTGAGCCTGATTCGTCTTCTTAGCTCTGAGTAATATTTGGTGAAAGCACAGCGATCAAAAGCGAAAAATGGGAAAAACGAGATTTTGGTTGGCTTCTAATTCAATAGTTTGGAGGTCTTCTGAAGCGGAATTCCTGAGGTGGACAAAGAAGGAGTAGTGCTTTGTATTAAGTGCAAGAAGAGGTAGCTTACTCACCGTTAAGATGAAGTTAATCATGTTTTAAATTACTGCTTTATACAAGGTTGTTTACTGCTCGGAGACCTCAGAGTGCTGAAACTTGGCGCATAGGGGTTATTCGGCACGCGGATTACGACAATTATGCTTGATTAGAGGTACGGTAGGTTACGGTAGGCATACGGTATCTGCAAGTTTGTGTCGTTGAACTTGAATTTTGCAGGATTTCAACAGCGCTCTCATCAAGTCAATTTAGTCACACAGCTTGTACAAGTGCTTTTGACCTTGGGTCGATACGACCCCCCCCCCCCCCTACCTATCCCCCCCCCCCCCCTAACGACACCCCCCTGCGGCGTGCCGCACCCACCGCTTTACCCTGATGATTGCTGCAATCTTTGCGTTTGCTCAACTTCATATTAAGGTTGTCAGGAAGATAGTTTTGCATCATATGCTACTGTGACGGGACAAACACTCAAAAGGTGTATGGGAAACTGCTTCAACTGTTTTGCTATGATAGGCGGCAGGCTCCTGATTCAATAGAACCCGGCGCAGTCATGACATTTGGCAGCACAATGGAGGAAAATCAAGTAGGCGTTTTGCGCTACAACAAACATTTTTCCTTGATGAAGCCTTTTTATCTTTCTCATACTGGAGGCTTTTCTATCATTTCTCCAAACTACTGATGTTGCGAACATCGTAGACGCCACTTATCCTTCCAACGTGATGCCAGAGAATCAGTTCACTCGTTGCGCCGCGTCCCGCTGAAGCAGACAATTGCTTACTCTAACGCCTACCAATGCGTAATGATGGTACACTTTATGACCTGATGTTTCGGTCGTCTTTAAGGCGCAAGAGCTGTTAGCCATTGAATTTCAGCACATATCTCCTCCTACTTGCCACTGCCGACTCATCTTAAGCGGTATACGGACCTCAGGAGTAACTAAGTGTATCACCGTTGTAATAGCGCGCACTATTAGAGATGTGTTAGCTGATGCGACCGAAAACAACAAGTGAGCAATCTAAATAAAATAAAGCCGCTTGAATGCAGTACCCAGGCACCTGTCCCTGCTACGAACCGTACTTGGCGGAGCTATCATCCGCTCGCAAGCATTTGGAGCCCATCATTAGGGCGGTAATTCCCTTGCGAATACATGCAGCCGATGCAAGTCACCAGCCACATACTGCAGCGGGATCCGGTTCGGAACTGGATATCTCAATGGCACTTGCACACTTTGCGTCTTTTTGGGCAGTGTCTATAAGGCAAGGTCGCCAAATCAAAGTGGCCGGTTTAGATGTGACATATGCTCATGGAGCTTGGGGAAGGAAGGTTAATCTGAAGCATGTTATAGCCCTCTGAAGTTTTGACGCATGCTTGTCTAGGAAACGCATGACTTTTGCAAACGCTGTTTATGGCACAGTGTGTCTCAGGCCACAGGCGTGTTCGAATCCGCCAACCTGCAAGTTCTTTAGAGGCAGCGACTCGGCAAATCATTGACTCAGCAAACTTTTGACCTGGGGTCATCTAATGCGCTGATCCCCAAAAAACCTTTGAAGAGCAAGAACATTGTAAAAGCGAGCATTTTTGAAGACCGTTCTACATATCAAACGAGTGCAGCTCGGCTAAGGTTGGAAACTCAGATTTCTTGCTGTACTTTTATGGCTATGACGTCACGGCATACATCTTTAGGTGAGAAGAAAGTCACGAACTACTTCAAGCGCAAATCAAACTGGCTTGCGCGAATTGGTTCGAATCAGGGAAAGCATGCTGTGTAATTCGGATTGTTTCCATAGCTGTTTACAAATTAACACATTAAATTCAGAAATTTAAGTTTTTCCAAACATCATTCTTGAAGTACGTAAACAATCTTGTGGCTCGCAAAATAACGGATGCTGCGGTAAATTTGTGATAGGTAATTTTTTGAAATTGCTCTCTTTAACACATTGACGACAATACGACCCACCGGTGGGTCGTACGTGTACTGCCATTTCGGACAATACGACCCACCGGTGGGTCGTAAGTCTTCGAAAGCTCTAACTTTGCCAGCATGCGATGGAATTCTACGGTATTCTGGCACATTATTGGGGACACCTTGGCGAAGCTCTAGCCGGACTGGTCCGGGTCCGGGATACTGTAATGTAATGTTACGGTAGGTATACCGTAGATAGAGGTAAGGCACAGATTTTAGCTCGAATTTCTCGCAGAGTGGTGCTGTTTTAACAATTCAAGTTTACATGCACAAGAAATACGGGGAGAACATGAGACTGATGTCAGCCCATCAAAAATTATCGATTTTATTGATTTTATTGATTTTTCGCATTGTTCATCCCAGGAAGCTCAAACCTTGCATATATAGGTTTTTTAGCATGCTGATTACGAAAATCATAGTCTCAAGTTCTAATACCGCCTTCTTACATCAGTTTCTTGATTCTAAAAAAATTCTACCGTACTGCTACCGTAGTCCCACTGTGGGAAAGTAGTGAACAAAGTGGACACTATAATCGTGATCAGCATGTGAAATAACCCCAAAACACAATTTTTCACGAAAATCCGTGATGTTGGGTTCGTACAGAGTGACTACCGTAATCTTACCGTATACTGCTAAAACTGAAACAAATCATATTTCAATAATCAGCGCCTTCGATAACCCTTGTGGGGATATTCTCAGAGACATGTTTTGAATTTCTTACAAAAAGACTACCATTTCGGACAATACGACCCACGGGTGGGTCGTAAGTTTGGCAGAGCAAAAAAGGCTCCTGTCCGAAATGGCAGTAATCGAAAAATCGCCCTTGTCGTCAATGTGTTAATCTTAATGATGAATGTAGAAGGGTTCAAGTTTTTCGAGCACAAATTTTGTTGTTCCTAAGCCAAAGTTTTTACACCTAATCTCAAAATCAGCATCGATATGTACTATCACTCTGTGCAACCCAGCAGATATGCTTTGCGAAATTCTGCTCAACGTTCGTCATGCATTTGATTTCATGAACCACGCCAGATTTTGCACATTGCACAACTTCTTTTTCCGTGCGGAAGATACGCAGTGACGTATAATACAAACTTTATAATATGGCTGTTGCGAACTGATGGTCTTTCGATGTTGTCTTATAGGCCGGCCCATCAAGGTCAACTCCATCGAAAGGCGTGCTTGTATTTTTTCAAATGAAAAGCGCAACGTATCCTCTTTATGATTTTTTGCTCGCCTTTACCACAGTCTTTTATCATCTGGGTTGCATAACACATTTGTTTTAGATCGTAATTTTACCGTTCGTGACATTTTTCTCTCTCCCACCTTTTAACTTCTGATGTCAGAGCTTTGAGCAACTACTGTTTGACAGCCGCTAATTTCCATAGCGTGCAAAATATTGTCATTACTTTCCTTACGGTACCATTTAATGCCCACATCTCCAAAAATACATCAACTAATGTGAGAAAAAGATTACGTATTTTGACAAGCGACAGCTTATTCAATGTTCTAAAATCTCGTTTATCTCAAAATGCAATGATGTAATAAAGCGAGAGGCTATTGAAGTATGCAATACATGAGCGAATCCTGTGGATAACAATGATTCATTTTCTATATAAAGCATACTTCCAGCATGATGTTGAACCCTGGTCCTTGACTTAGCCCTATTGCTTGTGCGAGTTATCGTCGAGTCACATGTAACTGAATATGCGTATTGCACACCACGTGCACTACTTGCTTGTCAGATTAGAATCTTCTTATTTCCAGTAAATTCTCTTCGTTTCTTTGTCTCCCTGTTTGTTGAATCCGTATTAGATATTGGTGTATCTTCTACAGCTTGCTGCGCTAGAAAAGGCCCTACTGATGAGATTCAAAGTGTTTGAATTTTTTGAAATTATGCTCTTTGCAGAAATATTTCAGTGTGAACTAGCTAGGCTGTAAAACTGCACACTTCGAAAAAATATAGCCTATGCAACGCAGCGATTTGTCTGAACCTGTAAATTTACTGATTTGCTTATATACATCTTAGATTAAGGAAACTTACTATGCTCTAATCAAGTATTTTTGCACAATCAGCGTCATTTGGGCAGAAGTGTCAAAGCTCATTTCAATCTCAATGGACGGTAAGAAGATATGTCCTTGCAGTAGCAAACTGTTTTGGGTGCTAAAGGGTAGAGGACAGTGAACAAGAAACGCGCGAATTTTTACGACAAGGGCGAGCAAGAGTGAAGAAAAAGAGTGAAGAAATGGGTTTTTATGCGGTGGATCCAGTCTAGGACCAAAGCATAACAGCGCATAGTCCGGACGGAGTCGCCAGTCAGTTTCAAAACTAATTTACAAAATACGAGATCCTTTGTGGGAGATTTTTTAGCGCCACTGTTTTCAGCAATGACTTTCTGTTTCACTGGCTCAAAGGGCTCGGGTCCCGCGCAGCCTTCTCGCGTGAACCCTGTGACGCCTCTGCGACACATAGCAATTTTTCAGGCTTTGGACGCGTTGCGTGCCTACCATTTGCGCAATTTCTTCTTTTCTTTTATATCATGTTGCACGGTCGATGAGAATATTTTGAAGGCTATGAAAATGCCAAGAAGTAAAAAGTTATGAAGCCATTTTTCCTTGTATAAACACTTTGGGCTGAGGATAAAGAGTGTCAAAAAAGGTTCCGGAGTTCGTGAAAATGTCCATCTAAATTGCTTTGCGGCATAAGCAGTGTCATAAGTCATGGGAATGCGCTGCCGCCTCGCCTGTACCCGCTCGTGTTTGTATGCATCATTTTTGCAGGCTTTCTTCGATCCGTTTTCTCCATCGCTTGTAATCGTTTCTTTCCTGTTTTGGCTTTTTTCTTATTCTCTTTAGATTTGCTCGTGCAGGACATGGCTGTTCCGGGCTGGTGCATACCCTTTGTCTTCTTATGGTAGATGGCGACCTAACGGGCTGCGCATCTACAGCCTATGGCATAAAAAACTTTTGTTCGTATTGATCTTGTCCACCTGTGCGCTACTTTAACGATAGACTCTTCCTTTTGAAATAGCTAGTATAAAGTAACAATTATTTGCTATGTCATGGTTTAATTTAAAGTTTTGAGCGTTAAAGGACTCACCTTATGTTAGCTCACATTAATCTTTATATATGCGACAGTCTAAGAACAAAAAAAAGGAAAAAAATAAAAGTTGCATACAAACAAATATATTCCGCAAAGTGGCTGCAAACTTCTTGCTCTTTGCCGTAAAGCAGCCAATCCAGGGGGACCGAGTCAAGCTCGATATCGTTTGTTTTAAAAGCAAAAGGGCTGTCGTTTTGGGTCCGGAGGAGTCGCAGGCATGTCCTTCCGCCGGCATGCAGGCGGCATGCTCTATCCCAAACAAAGTCTGGCGCTGTTTACAAAAAACGCAATGGTATGACACCAAGTCCGTGTGCACATTTGTGTAAGGGGACTCAAAATATGATCCAAGAAAAGCTTATGTGAATGAAAGCCTTGACCGACTTTTATCAAATTAGTTGGGACTGTCCCAACCTAATTCTAGTAAGCTGGAACCATCTCTTCGTTTATATAAATTCCCATACTTTGCAATATGGTACCTTTACCGTAGAAGTTTTTCAAAAAACGATTTCATAGTCGCGTTTGAGCGGACTCTAAATGTTTTGAAAAGCTTATGTGAATGGAAACCGTAATCAACTTCTTTACCGCATTAGTTAGAACCGTTTCAGCCATGTTCCAACTGATCGAGGACTAGCGAAAGACGTCAAGGCAAGAAAAGCTAAGGGCAAACAGTGAGGACATTTTTGACTACTCGCATTATGAATTTTTTCTTGAAAAATGAAATGAAATTACAAAAGGTGTCATTTTCTACTAATAATGCATTAATTCAATGTGTTTAATCTAAAATTTGTGAAAACTTACCTTATCCCAGCCTTTCTGTTCAACGCTACCGGTGCTATCCAGTAAAAACACAATAGACCTTTTCTCCGTACTCTTCTCACAATCAAGGCATATGACTCCCTAAATTGACTAGAATCATAGGTTCCTTGCTAATTTTAAACTCATTGTCTTTTAGTTGCTTGGGTGCGGTGGCTCTCTGGGCCCGCACTTTTCCGCGCGAAATGCTTACCGCAGATTCCACCCTAGATTTCCGTTGTCTCCTACGAATATGTTGGGCTTCCAACGTTCATACGCCTTAGCGGCGACTCTGCGGACTATACCTATTCGTTTGCATAGGTATTAGCGCAAACGGAAAGCTGACCAAAAAGAAGTGGCTATCGAACTATACTAAACCAATATACAACAATAAACATAGATATAGAGCGCGGGACGGTCATAGAATAAGGCGAGGGGTGTGGCACGCCACACAGGGAGATCGTACTGTAGAAGGGGGGGGGGGGGTAAGGGGGAGGTCGTATCGATCCAAGATAAAAGCGGTTTTTAAGGAGAAAAGCACTATAATAAAATTGAAGCAGGCAATCAACTTCAGTAACTGTTAAATAATTTGTAGAAAGTTTGTAAATAAGTTCAAATAACTTTTCTAATGCAGTGCTCAGGCACATTCGATAACACCAACTTAAGCAGACACCGTAACACTGTAAGCCTAAAGAAGACTCTACCACGCAAATCAAGTATAATTTTCGTAATCAGCATGTCGGATATACCTTATGCACCAAGTTTCAGCGTACTTTGAGGTGTCCGAATAATAAATGATCGTATGTGATACAATAATTTTCAAACGTGAATAACTTTGTTTCAGAAGTGAGTGAGCTACCTCTTCTTGCATTCAATACATGGCACTACTTCTTACTTCCCCACATAGAAAATCTCAGTAGAAATAAGCGCCAGACTATTAAAGAACTGCCGACTCCCACTTTTAAATTCTAACGGTTGTGCTTTCATCAATTATCACTAATGCTAAAGAAGAAGATCAGGCTTAGATTTTTCGTACGCGCAGCACTAGGTCTCAACTGTCAAAGTGTATGAAAAGTCTGCTAGAATCCCTTTGAAAGTAAGTCAATGGGGTGTGGCGCCCTCACTCAAAAGCCGTGGCTGCCACAGCTTTTTAGGGGGGGGGGGAGGCACACTCCATGAACTTACCTTCGAAAAATCCAAACAACTGCTTTTTCATTCTACTTCTATTAATCTTCCTCTTTTCACAGTAGTGTAAGAAGGAACGATATCCCATGGTGGCATATGCAGATGTTGACATATTTCTACAATCAACATAGCTAAGGACGATCTGATAACGGTTGCCAACCGATATAAAACAGATACATGAGAGGGAGAGAGATCTCGGAACCCCCAGCTGCAGAGCGGTACGCTCACCCACAGATCGTCATGCATCAACCTCTGCTGTTTCTTCCGTGTCTTCACGTACTGTGTCTAATAAATCATATTATTACGACTTTGTATCGCCTGCTAGTAAAGAGAATATCTATTGGGCACAGATCTTACTGTAGCAGTAGCCCCAAACTGCATTTTCTAGAAGAAGATAAAGCGGTTTTTGTAAACCATATGCCCTGGAGTAGTGCTCTAAAAATAATGGGTTACAGGAGTGCATAAAAAATTGTGGTATCACAAAATCGCGAGATAGCGGTTTTAAACTACAAAATTGTTCTCTCTTTTTCCTCTCTGTTTCTTTCTCTCCTTCATCTCACTTTTATTCATTTCTCTACTTTCAGGGCATGGAAGTGTTGTTGTTGTTGCGGTGTTCTCCTCGCTCTTCGGGGTACACGACCGCCAAATACGGTCTTCCCCCTAAGTCGGACCCCAGCACGACTCCCCCCCCCCATTCTGCCCCTCGCCCCTCTCAGCGAGTCTTGGCTGCGTTAGTGTACTTTGTTTGAATAAGTCCTAAAGGCGTTTTTGAAACCATTCCGCAAACAGCTGGCAGCACAACTGCAACAATGGGACGGTACTTGTGAACAAAACAAGTCAACTGTAAAAATGAACTTCGACACTCCAAAAGTGGAGCGTATACCTTTGAAACTCGCGTTTCCTTAAATCTTTCAATGCACGAAATCTTAGTTAGCCACTCCACTTTAGGATATTTCTGGCTGAAAGCATGTTGATTGAGATATCTCATCAATACCCAGAGATAACACTTGCCGCTCGCACTATAGCTTGAAAAGGGCGCTCCTGGCAGAAAACTTCACCAGGGTTATATAAACAATCACAGAAGGAAGAAAGCCATTTTGAGCAACTGAGTAAAATGACGCTCCCAACACAATATGCATAACACCATCTAGGTACTGGATATGGTAGCTATATCTGAACTCTAACACAAAGCTGCTTTGACACCAGGTAGCCGAAGTCGCACAACTACCATACTCAATACCGTAGGATCTCTTGAGCGAAGTGAACATAAAGTTCGCGGAATATCGTGTTATGCAATCACTCACGATGGAATTGCGACGAATGCAATCTTTGCGTTTTGGGCAATGAGGAGGTGATTGCGTAAGCCGTGCCGGCTAACTTACGCCCTTTCGTAGTATAGCTACAGCTCCCTAAATCTCTGCTAGAAGATCCTGTACTCACGATCAGCAAAGACCACTTTTCTTAATCAGCGTATCAAAAAACCTCTATGCGCGAAGTTTTTTTCAAAATTCAAGAGCATATTCTGATCAAAACCATCGGCAAGCTTCAAAGCTTGAACTGGAAAGAATCAAATAACTCGAACTTCTTCTAAAACTTGCTCATAAAGCTGACCTGCTGGATGCGAAAATCCTCTGCTTAGCAGGAGAGCTTTGTTTTTTAGGTTTATGTTGACTAGAATTTGGAACGACATAATTTTACTAAAATTTACCAACTCTAATCTCTTTTGAAACAAAGTCTCTGGCTAGACTTCGTTTCAGATAAGATTGAGTTGGTAGATTTTAGTAAAATTATGTCATTTTAAATGCTAATCAACATAACCCTAAAAAACAAAGCTCTCCTACTAAGCAGATGGATTTTCGCAAACAGCACTAATAGTGCTTATTGAAATCTTTGTGTGATTTGCGCTGCGTTGCATTGCGAAAAGGCGTCGGCAAAAAAATTTGGAAAAAACTGGAAACGGAAGTTCGAGATATGCTGTACTGCAAAAAATTCGCCTTGATGGGAAAATGGAAGTTAGGTCTCTCTGACAGCCGTTACCGCCCGCGCGCGTCGCTAAAACTACAGGGTCTCTGGGATATCTGAACACGGCAAGCCCCGCCTCATAACAGACTTTCTGGCACTCAGCCAAATTGGTGGGATACTCTAAAGTGTTTGCATATCATATTTCCAAAACATTCCAACCGCAATATGTCATAAACTTCTCATTTTTAGGTAGGTTGCAAAACAAGATTCGATAGAGCAAAGTAAGCTCTAGAAGATTGCGGTCTTGTTTTTGCAACACCTCTCATTAACCTCGAGTTTCGAGCCAAAAACTAAAAAGACTTAGCTGCCCGAAGACATGAGAAAAATCATAACTCAGTTTATAAATATCCTACAAAATTTCTTACTTGCTCACGTAAACGCTATCCACATAAGACATCTAGATACGCCGCTGCCGTATTTTTTTCTCTGTTAGAAAACAAGAAAACGGAGATTTTTGTGCATTTGCCAAAGTGATGCTGTGCCATTATTACGTAAGTATTTAAACATTACAAACCTGTAAAAGTGCAAACGTGAATTTCCAGCTCTCTACAGGCTTTAGTTCTCGAGGAATATCGAATACAGTTTTTCCTAGTCATGTGGTTTAAGCTAAAATTCGAATTTCTCGAGAACTAAAGCTTGTAGAGAACTGGAAATTTACGTTTGTACTTCTGCATGTTTGTTGAATACAAACGCTTATGTGGAAGTGGCACAGCATCACTTTGGCGATTGCACGAACATTTCCGTTTTTTTCATTTCTAACAGCGAAAAAAAATACGGCAACGGCGAATACAGATGCTCTATGTAAATTGTGTTTAAGTGTGCAAGTTAGAATTTTTGTAGGAATTTTATGAACTGAGTTACGATTTTTCTTAATTTTTTGGGCAATTAAATTTTTTTGGTTTTTGGCCCAAAACTCGTAATGGATCAAAGCTGTTGTTGAAGCAAGATGGCCATCTTGTAGAGCTTGCTTTGTTCTATCGAACGGTGTTTAGCAACCTACTTAGTAATGAGAAGTGTATGACTTACTGAGGTTGGAATTCAAGACCTGCACCAATTTCCGGACAGATTGATACATAGAATTTTATTTGTACAGTCGCTTTTTGCCTGTGATTTTTATGCAGCATAGATCAGCCTCAGCGACCAGACAAATTCGAGACAAGATTTCTCCTAAGAATTTCTTAAAAATCTGATGTTGACAAGGTTTCGTAGAACAAAACTTCGCTATCGTTACGCATAACTTTTGGAAAAAAATCACTCTATTTCTCATGGATTTAGAAGTGAAGGAGAGCGAAAGGAAAGAATTACGTACTTCAATCACCTTCTTTGAAGGCATTGAACTCGGGTTTGAAAAAAGATTAGCGAAAACTAAAGCACGTTTTAGGAACTAGAAGAATCAAGCTTATAGGCACTATAAAGGGTTTTTAGAGAAAAACGGTTTTTCTTTGAGAATCAGTTTTTTCAAAAAAAAAATTAGGAGAACGTGCATTAATTATAGGACAACCTAATATCATAACTTATAATAACGGGCTAAGGGTGTTTACGTGTCCTTGTGTGTGTGTGTTTGTGTGTGTTTGTGTGTGTTTGTGTGTGTTTGTGTATGTGTGTGTGTTTGTGTGTGTATGTGTGTATGTGTGTGTATGTGTGTGTGTGTGTATGTTTGTGTGTGTTTGTATGTGTGTTGTGTGTGTATGTTTGTGTGTGTTTGTATGTGTGTTGTGTGTGTATGTGTGTGTTGTGTGTGTATGTGTGTGTGTGTGTGTTTTGTGTGTGTTTGTGTGTGTGTTTGTGTGTATGTTTGTGTGTGTTTGTATGTGTGTTGTGTGTATGTGTGTGTGTGTGTGTGTGTGTGTGTGTGTGTGTGTGTGTGTGTTTTGTGTGTGTTTGTGTATGTGTTTGTG